AGTGGTCATCAATTTTGTTCAGTTGTGGTGTTATTTTTCACAGCTCATTTTTTATGTGCAAATTCCAGTTGTTTACTTCCTCTTATATTTGCATTTGCATGCGTTTTGCGTTGATTTGTTTTTTGGGGCTTAGTATAGGGTGTGTTTTGTGTTCTTTTTATGCACGTATCTCATTCCATTAAACAGCTATTACCATGAGTTTTAATCTAAGTAATGTTTGCATATTTAGATTTGTTGGAATTTATGTGCTTTATCTTCTGGCAATAAATTAAAAATCATATCAGTTTCTAAAAACAGCAGTGCACCACTTTGTTATGTTTTGTTGCATTTACTTGCACACATCATAAGTTTGACTATATGACATTTATGCATCTTAGCTTAGTATTTGTAGGAGGGAAGCTCTTCAGGTGAAGTGTCTTCTGAAAGTGACAGTGAACCAGCATGTGTAATCGCCAACCAGAAGTTGAATCGCTGTGTTGTTTCCTTTCTTGCTCGATTGCAATGAGGCATCCTTTCCATTTGTCTGCACCATTGACGGATCCCTTTTTTTCCTTAGGGTTGCTTCGTCTTTTCCTTAGTCAAGTACAAGCCGCTGACGTACAACAAGACTTACCAGTACCCAGACTGGTCCATTGGCCTGGGCTGGGCTCTGGCCCTTGCCTCTATGGTGTGTATCCCCATGGTGGTGGTGATCAAGATCATTCGTTCAGATGGGCCTCTCATCGAGGTAAGCAGAACTTTGCATTCCTGTCCCTCTGGTTCCCAGATGTGTCTTATAAATGTGTTTCCTATCCCATACTCGTTCAACCCCTTCTTCACCCCAGCGCATCAAGGCGGTGACCGCTCCTGTCAGGAGTGCTAGTAGCTCCTGGCCTGCCAACCACCAGCTCAAGGGCAGCAAGCTGGGTCTCTCTCTGGACCCTAAGGAAAACAGTAGCCTGATAAAGCCCAGCCACACCATCGTGGAGACGGTGATGTGATCTCTCTGTGAGAGGATGAAAAGATCTGCCCTTTGTGTCATAGTATTTTTGCTTACTTTGATAGTCGTAGGACCAAGTTTACATTGCTATATATCTGCACTAGGAGTCTTGTTTTCTACAAAAGACGTGGCATATTGTATTTTTGGGCGTTTTTAATCAATTTTATCGATATTAATGATGTTGTAGCTTGGGGGAACATTGATCGAAGCCATATGGCCAAATGTGTCAGATATGGCTCATTACTTTTTCTTTTTCCTTTGATGTAGGTAATTGACATCAAACGCTCTTTTCCTTCTGGCAGAACCAGGAAAATGGCATATTTTACTTTAAGAACTATTTGTGTTATTGTGTATGACAGTAAAATTTCAGTATATCTGTGTATTCAGGAAAAAATCCAGCCTCTTTCAAAAATTTCTTGTCATAGTACCAGTATCCTTGTCTGGTGACATTATTTTCTGTTGTTGGTGTAAAATACAGCTGAATGTACATGACGTAGCCAAGCATTGTGTTCCTGCAGGCTCTGCTAGAGTTCCCTGCCCTATGGGATGATTGTACTGTGACACTAACATTAGCAAAGATGCTGCTGTAAAGGGCAATTAAGATCATACTGCGATCCTTTAAAGTGCATCAATGTTTTTTTTTTCTTTTTTTGTAATGTTCTTCAAGTCTCATGCAATGAGTCACCTTTTATTTCAGCTTCTTCCTCATACAGCTGGCTGCAAGTAAGAAATATGACACATAAGGCAGCAGCCATGTCACTGTATCCATTTTTCTGTCTCCCTAGCAACAGAGTATGAGGGGCAATGCACAGCCTGGAGTGTAGTTACATTAAAATTGAAAAATATATTCATTTTTGGGCTTTTTGTAGGATTTGTTTTCTATGTAATGCATTTAGATGTATATTAATGCTATTCCCTCCTATTCTGATTCCCTAGTCTCCTTTCCCTCCTTATTTCTTTATTTTGGTTTTCAATGAATGTTTGACCTTGAATTCACTGCCATTTAAATTAGAAATTGATATACAATACAAAGGTATAGGTCACTGCTCTAAGTATGATCTTAACAAGGACACCAAAGAATATCAAACCAAGTTTGTTATAAATCCACTATTAAAGTTTGTTAATAATAATGTTCATCTTCTAACGTTTCCCAGACTGTAGGTTTACACTGTATTTGTTTAGAAGCCATATGCCTTTTCCTTGCCAAGCATTTTATATTGTACTTGAAAAGTACTCTGTTGCTGACTACCTATACTTTGAGTTTCTTATTTTAACTAACAAAAAGCTAAAATTCCAGCTCTTTTGTGCAATACTTTGTATCCAATGGTTTTATAATTGTGCAATACCTTTCTCAATCATGTTCTTCTTGTTTGGAATTACTCTTATGTTGCCACAGTATGGAATGAACACAGATGATCTACAAACAAAATCTATTTTCAGAACAGAATATGATCTGTCGTTCTAAGGTCTTTGATAAAGACCTTTGATTAAGTTGTAAAGGGTACTGCTGTCAGAAAAATCCAGGCCCCCTTTTTAATTGAATTAGTCCTTTAATGTTGCTCAAGCAAATTGGGCTATACCTCCTGCTGCACTATACTGGCATCAAACCCCAAAACACCCACTATTTATATTGTAATTAAAAGGCTAGATGTTTTTAATGAAAAAAAGCTAATTTGCAAAATGCAGGTGTTTTTAAAATGTTTTTTACAGTATGTAAAGACTTTTTTAAATGATTAATAAATGATTGTTTTTTTATTGAAATGCCTTCAGTGCCCATGTGTGGCGAAAGCATTTCCAATTAACACCTTTTCTGCAGTATAAGATGCAGCATATGCTTTGTCATCGTCTAGCTCTTAAACGCATTTAGACCCACTTTTTTCAGGATCTGTCACATGGATTGATGGGTCTCCAAGAGGCAGGATGTGCTGTGATCAGCATGGCTGTGCGGCGCTAATTCTGCTCACACACCATTTTTCACTTCCTAGAATTTCCTAGGAGCTTAGCATGAACCTGAATGAGAACACACATCATTTCATTACAATTAATTATACAGGCTTCTTACTAAAGAGGCCTGATAGGAGAAAATGTGAGTTGGGAGGTGAATGCAGCCTATTTTAATATTTATGGTCTAGTTTCAAGTTCAAAATATGAATTAAGATAATGGAACCACCAACTGAACTGCAGCCAATGGTCTACTTCCTACTGTTAGAAGTCCCACCTTCGAGAGAGGTGTACCTCTTCCAAAGGTAAATCGTTCATATCGTGTACCTCTTGCTGTAAAGTCCTTCGGTTGTCCTTGCATTATACTTGCAATCACTTGACATAAGTGGTTAGACTAGAGTTTAACAGTTATGAGATGATGTGCTCCAATAATGAGAACAAGCATGTGTTTTAACAAAATAACCCGACTCATATACAGCACTCTGCAACTGACACAGGTTGCATAAATCTCACCCCAATGCTACACTTGCCCTACGTCGTTATAGTGTATTATAAAGTACTGCCGTGTGATGTCATTCCAATTGGAATCATGCTGTTACACCAAACAATTTTCCATGTTAGAACTCTGCTGTTGTTATGCAGTCCTGCATTTGCAAGAACAATGTTTTAGTTTCTTCTTATGTAATTCAGTTTGTGAAAAAGAACAAATAAACATTTAAAAGCTGACTTGTGTCTGTGATATTTTAATTCTCACACCGAAGCGCTTAGATTTTAGCACTCTGCTAATTCTTGTTGTATATGATATTTACTCCCATAGTCCAGTAGTTTTAATTTAAATGAATATATTGCATTTTTTTTATTACCATCATATGATTTTGGCATACTTGCAAAGTGAACTTGATTTAAAAAATGTATGCTAATTACTTTGACTTATCAGTGGTCATGCTAGTTTCTGTTTCATGTTGAAAACTGTAATCTTTAATCTCATATTCATATCTAGGTCACCCTCGACAGCTGCTGGCAAATAAACCAATGCACAGTAAGAGTGTTTGCAAAATGTGCACAAGCAGAAACCGATGTGCACTCTGGCTGATAGACTGTGCTCTGGTCTAAAACTCCTAGTCAAGGCAAAGAAATATTTAACAGGATGCACAAAGGGAACAAATATATATTGTCTATTTGCATTATATACTTTTTTTTAAAAAAACCATCCCAGACAACATATTGGCTAACTGTAGAATGTACTGGCAGCACAAATCAGTTGTCAAGGTTGAAGACTTATTTATTGCCAACTATGTGAAGTAACTCTAAAATGACTACAACTGTTTTGTTTATACCTCTACTTCTTTATTTTTAAGAGACTCAGGAGGAAACAAATGTATGTTTTATGTTTTTTTAAAAGGAGGGCTTTAGAACAATCACATGCCAATCCAACCAAATTATATCTAAGGATGTCTAACCAGACATGCCACAATAATATATTAATACACTTTTTAAAAAGCTACAATATCAGTACAAACATATAATACCAGTGGGCCCAGTCTTAAGGTGGTTAATCATAATCATTTGATACCTGTATAACACGGATCGTTTCCAAACTGTAACACTTCACTGATAAGACATACCATAATGTACTTTGTACTGTCAAACACAACACCTTATAAAAAAAACATCAGGTTAAATTGGTTGAATAGTTAGAGATAAGTAATACTGCAAAGAAAAGAACATTCCCCTAATAATGTGGATCCCAGTCATCAAAATAAACAAAGCATACATTGATTTGACTCGTTTTAAAGTCTGGTGGGCTAAGCGGATTGGCTTAGCAGACTTAAGATCATGAGAAAAAGGGTCTGAGTTTCATTGATAGGGATTGTGCCTCTGAAAAGCCCACACTGCCCATAACCAAAGGAGCTTTTTCCTCCAACAGCGCTTGGCTCTATGCATGCACTAATGAAGCGGAGAGAGAATCTGTATTATGTGTAAATCCAAGGTTGCCCTTTGTACAAGGCTGCATTTGGGAGCTGCTTTCCTCAGAAACTATGCGGAATTCCATGTAGGATTTCCTGACCACACGACAAGATTTCCTTAAAAATATTTATTTAAAACATTTAAAATTCAGTTAGAATACATTCTGGCGCTGATATTTAATAGTAACAGATAGCAAAGGATTTTCATTTTTCCATATATGAGCTTCTATTTTTTTCTAACTTGGAACAAATCATGTATTTTTGTGCAAGAGTTCAATGAAACACAAATCAGTTGAGAAATATTTACACAAAAACATGACTGAGACTATGTGAACATTAAAATTTTCAAAAATATTTCTGCGATACTATAACATTAAAACATGAATGGGCCTGTTTCTGTGGGAACTGAATAAGAGGTAGGAACAGATATGAATGGAACCCCCTAGTGAAACTGGCGTAGACTACAAACAAATCAGAGAAGAAAATGGTAAATGGTGATTAACAGGAGATTTGTGTAACGAGGCTACAAAAAGGTGACAATCTAATATGGTGTGATAATAAAGTAATAAAACACACCAAGAATGAAAAGAACGACTGTGAGGCAATAACAAAGTAACATCAAGAAATAAATTGTGCTTTACCATTATAATTAGTGATTTGGTGACGGCGCTCAAGTCCTGTGTGTCTATTTCTTTGATAATTTACTACATTTACATTGTGTGAACTGCTACAAATACAGTGCTGACTGACACAAATAAGTGTATATCGTGATTGACCCAAGTGTGGACTCCTCACATTGTGACTCTGTACTATGACATTCTGCAGGTTGTGCTGGATTATGACAGAACAGCTCTTGGGAGGCAATTTGAGGGCTAAGGTTCACATGGTTGTAAGCAGCAGCTAATCTCATACTTATGTACAGTAACTAAGGGTATCCTCACCAAAGGTTTTAAGCAGTTTCCCTTCAGTATTTCTCCTGTAGTGTGCTGCTGAGAGAAGCAGGGGGGCTGTTCTTTTTGCTACCCAGAATTCTTCACACTTGGCATCCGTCTTAGTACTCTCAGTATCTGGGAAGGTTTCTGTTATCTGCAGATCACGCCAGTTATTCCCGGTATTATTAAAACAACTGATGATGTCAAATTAAATAAGACAACAATACAAGCACTAGCTTGCCATGCCTTACTTATTTACTAAAACACATAGTAATACGTAATGACAAAAGTCCAGTCATTGCTCATCCTTGCCTCATGTTATAAGTGTATAGTGTGTGTCTGGCTTTCTCTGGCATTGAGCTGGGTAGCAGATGGGTCCTCACAGTCCACAAACTGTCCCGGAGTCGCCGGAACCAGCGGGTTCCTACTTATCACTAATTCCAGCTTGTCCCCCGTGTCTGTGATAAGGGGCACAGCCAGGCAGCAGTCCGAGTCACTTGTGCGTACATGGTTCACCTGAAGTATGGAAACAACCTGTGTTGGTCTTTCTAGTACAAGGTCATTTTCTGTGTTCAGCCAACATCATACACTGATTTTTTTTTTTCCAAAGCTAGTATAATTACACTAAATTATTCTAGGAAGATTGCCTTTAGAGATTATTAGCTTTTATACAATACAGGCCTGAGTAATGAGTAATTTCTGTTTTAACTGTATACCTTGCTAATCTTTGGCTGGTTCTTTTGCTACTTATCATTCTTTTATAGTGTACAAAAGCATCTGGCCACATCTACTCACCTAAATCACACAGTATAAATGTCTGTTGACAGTGGCATTTTCAATGCCAATTAGGAACAAATCAGGCAAAATTTAAAAGGCAAGCAGAAGGACCACCGTACCTGGAGAATGCGGTCAAAGGGCTTCAGCCCTACTTTATCAGCGGGCCCTTCTGGACGAATCATATTAACAAAAATGCCACTCTGAAGATAGCCGTCTGATAGACTGAAGCCAAAGTCTTGAGTCTCTGGATCCTTCATTATCGTTACCTAAAGTCAGTGGGAAGGCAAAATTCTCAGCCGAGTTCATTGCTAAATGTCTATGTTCCCATCATCAGAATCCTTAATTCTTACCCACTGAACAATTTTTTTTTTTATATTATCAGAAATTCAAAAATACTTCATGGGCCATCATCACCTTTTCTGTTTTTAGCAAGCAAACACTGTGGGGAACAAGACAAACTGCTAACTGCATGTGTTTGTGACAGAATAGGAGACATGCTGCCCGACACGGGCAGGTGGGCTCTATAAGGCACCTTGAGCAGCTCAAGAGCTGTTAGAGACAAGGAGCCCTCTAGGCCTTCCTCTATGCTGCCAGGCATCCAGGCACTCTCACAACCAATCAAGAAGTTGTTATTCTTGGCATTGCTCATCCTCAGCGGGTTCACCAAGTCATGTGACTTCTGCAAGTCCATATCCAGACTGAGGGTGCTGCCACTCATTATCGATGCCTGCAAGAGAACAATATGCATCATAGCTGTTAGAATCACTAATGGTTTTCTCTTTTTTCTTAGCAACTAAAATAGTTTAAATGAAGTATTTAAATAATACAACTTACTCTTGTTGAAATATTTGAAAATGTAGTTTTGGTATAGGTTAATGCTTATATGCTTAAGTGACTTATTTACCTCAATCTCCCTCAAAAGCTCTGACTGCCCACAAGTCTCTAGGTCCTCCAGGGCCTGGCACCAGAGCGTGTCCTGCTGGTCCAGTGCAAGGTTGCTCTGCAGCCTCCGTACACCATTTCTGCACCATTGCAAGAGATGTGCAGGTAACAACATTTTCTGACTGCCAGTCCAACTGGGCTAAGCCATTAGACATCAGCAGCGTCTCATCCCAGTGGGCAACAGAATATTGTGGCGCAAAAATCGTGGAAATAAATAGTGATGCTTTTAGCGAAAAAATGGGGGGGGGGAGTGGAACGCAATCATACGACTGGCTGTGGACTGATGCCATGTAGTCAAAGCGGTAACAGGCAGGATGAAGCAAATGAAAGACATTCAGCTGCTTCATGCATGGAGTAAAGGGCCCTGGAGGCGGAAAAATCACTGACAGAGTTTGACAAAGCAGTGGTTTAGAGAGAGAGAGAAGCAGACTGACGGACACAGAACTGTGTGCAAACCTAAACCACACAATGCACCCTGACTGGATGCTTTTTCATAAGGTGGTGAGGTCTGTTATCTAAAAATGGCAGAATCATCAGGATTCATGTTGAAAGGTACACTTTAAAATGTGTACAGCAGGCATTAAGCAAAAATGGAAACGGTATGAAGTACAACTTTCATATTTTGCAAGTGGTTTCTGAAAATCCCATTTTTTCTATGGAATGTAAACTGGGAGTCAATGTCAATATTTTAAATGATTTCTCAATTACATGTAACAGTATTCAGTAACGCATTACATTAACTGCACCTTCATAATACCTTTACAATGGATTCGCAGAACATTCATAACCAGCATGCAAGTATACCTAAACGTCCTAACGCATCTTAACAGCTTTAATATACATTACAAACACTGTATGATTATAATGTCATATGTTTTTAATGTATACTACAGCTATTAAGGTATGTTAGGATGTTAAGGTATACTTACATGCTGTTATGAATGTTCTATGAATGCATTATAAAGGCATTATGAAGGTGCACTGAATGTAAAGCATTACGCAGTATTCTTATATTCATTTTAAAGCATACAAGTATTTAAATGTGATTTTGTGGACATGAAAATTAAATTCAGCACCAGAAATTAAGAATAAGTACTCGTGATAATTAAGATCTTAATATTGCGAGTATTGTGAATGAGGAACAATATTGGTAATCAGTTTTAATTTTCCACATAATGATTAACTGATTTCTCTTCTGTGCGCATAACCTATAATCAAGGCATTTTGTAAAAGGTGCAATGACGCAAGTAACCGTAGTTTTGTAATCAACTGTTATAATTTTGTATGTATTAACCTGACAGTAAGACAGTAAGATTTTCTGTAGCAAGAATGAAAGATGTGGCCAAGCTGCTAGCAGGCCTTAGCCATGAGTCAAGTCTAAGGCTGAACCACATTAAATTAGAGATGACAGATGCATTTTGTTTATACTGGAGTTCTAACTTTAAAGCCAAACAGCTCATTTGTGGTTATATCGATGCTTAAGGGCATCAGCTGCTAGTCAGCCTTTGGTTTTTAATGGACGTATCAACGGTGTTGGATTTGCTAAAAACTACAGCCAATGTTTCATTAAGTTGATATTGCTATATTTAAAAAAAAAAATCCACAAAGGGTCAGCCTACCCAGAAGGCTTGTCCCAGTTGTTGTTACTGAACTCTTCATTACTTATAGGGCATTTCTTGCACCCACCAGCAGGCGGCGCATTTTTGTTCCGTTTTGTTCTGTGCCACTCGTCAGGTTCCAGGGAAATATCTGAAATTAGATGGGTGTGGGTCCCTGCAACACAGACAAGAGCATTAGAAAAGCCTGGTACACATACATGTGAGATGTTTCCTGTTGTCATTACCTGGACCTCCACCACCAACATCAGTGCTGGATCCAGAACCATCCCAGGATTCCATTGCAGAATCCACACTTGGAATGGTGCCAGAATAGATCTCAGACAGTCTACTAGACTTCTGGGAGTTGTCATCATCAGCTACATCATTTATCAATCCAGATTTCTTTCTTTCTGTGCCAAGCTCTGAAGGAGGACAAGAAAAATATAAAATCGATAAAATTTCTCTTTGATTGTCAAGTTCCGTGACGAATCTTATACGAGTCCCTATGTAGTGCAGGAAACTCAAAGTGCTAATCTTTTGAGGATCTCTGTCTTATCTGCTGAGGTTTTCGGGTTTCCCTCCACTCCTACCATTTATTTGCTTCTTGATCTTGAGAGTGACCGTTTCTCCTGCCATCTGCAGCAGGTGGATGGCTTCGCTCAGCGGTTTCCCCTTCAGACTCACACCATTGAGAGCCAGAATGCGGTCGCCTATGTGGATGGCTCCAGTCCTGCAGGGGCCAGCAGAAGCTTTAACTACAAGGCCAACAACCAGTACTTTTTCAATGGCGTTTCAGAGAGAACGCTTAACATTTTTGTTCTTTCCAAGTGTTTCACTCAATAGCCATATGTATAAAAAGTACTTGCATTGGAAATAGATACTTTGTAATTCCAAATGGCATTAGGAGAATTATACAGATACACTAAGACCACCACCTGTGATCAAGTACTCATAAGTACTCACCTCTCAGCAAGACCCCTCTTGGAAAGACCCGAGATAACAATCGGGTCAAAAGGTTCTTCAGTTCCGGAGATGGTTATCCCCAGTGGGCCGCCGAATCTCTGCAGCTCGACAGTGTAGATGATGCAGCCAGACATGTCCTGCTCATCTTAAGCACAGAGACACCACTCACACAACCCACTGAAGGTTATGGCGTGTCGCCGTTTGCCTTCCACCCACTGATGTCTGGCTACATCTTATGGCTCAGAAATCAGGTCTATCATAGTTAGTTATACTCCCTTAAATACATAATCAGGTAAACGCTACTGCAGGACAGCTCGCGGTCATTTCATCTTCACATATCCCCTATAATCCACAAGAAGGAAGAACAAAAAGAAGAAACAAGGAACCCTGGGGCCACTTTCTGGCCAGCCTTGTCTCACCAGCATTGTCCTCATCTTTTTGGATTTTCAGCTTGACAAGGTCATCTGATTGCTGGAGGAGCTGCAAAGCTTCATCCATAGTGCAGTTTTCCAGCCGAATGTTGTCAATAGCCAGCAGCTTGTCCCCTGGCTCCAGAGTACCCGTCCTGTGTGAAAGAATGAGAAAAGCCATCAAAGCTTTTCTGGATGAACTGAAAGGATCAGGAGTACAAGTCTTTGCCATGGAGGGCTGACTGCCTCTGGCTGCGTTCACTGCCCGTCCATATTTCAGAGGAAGAATTAACAAAAAATTACAGCAAATAAGATGAATCTGGCAAAGGCTATTATTCAATGCATGTCCCTTTCTATGACTATGAATATATTTAATGATAAAGGAGACTTTTTGAAAACTCTTTTCATAGGTTGAAAAAAATACATTCATACTGTAGTTAGATTTGACACAAACCTCTGCGCTATGCTGCCCTTCCTGACGTCTGAGATGATGAGAGGCTGCCCAGGTTTTTTACTTGCTTTTGGAAGAAAAACAATGCATTTACATTTCTGAAGTATACAGTTGATATAAAAAGTGTACACACCCCTGTGAAAATGGCAGGTTTTTGTCATGTTAAAAAAAAAAAAAAAAAAAAAAAAAAAAAAAAAAAAAAAGACCATGATACATATTTTCAGAACTTTTCCCACATTTAAATGTGACCTGTAACCTGTACAATCCAATTGAAAAACAAACAAATCTGTTAGGGGAAAAATATGAATAAAAAAAAGTGTGCACACCCTTAAACTAATACTTTGCTGAAGCACCTTCTGATTTAATTACAGTATTCAGATGTTCTTGGGTAGGAGTTGATCTTGACTTGGCAATATTTCCCCACTCTTCCTTGTGAAAGTGTTCCAAATCTATCAAGTTGCGAGGGCATCGCTTGTGCACAGATGCACAACAGCCAAAAAAGGCTTTTTTGCTAGAGTAAGTAAATTATCCAATGTTTCATAACTTTTAATCTGTATCAATGAGTTTTTGAAGCATTTTTAGATACCTTCAGTGACAGATATGCTTTTCTAACATCCAAAACTCTCAGCATGTCAATCTTACTATGCACAATGGCCACTTTGCTGCCCATTTTGGTAAAGGACACCCATTCACTTCTAAAGTTCTGGAGAGTACTGTGAAACTTGAGTACGAGTTCAACCAAATACACATCCAAAACCAGAGTAAGAAATATTTAAAGAAATAGGAAGTTAAATAATACGGAGCCCCTAAGGGGACAAAGGAGGAGAATTTTTTTTTCTCCTCCTCCTTTGTCCCCTTAGGGGCTCCGTAAAATAACATGTAAATATTTTACATGTAAATTTACATGCTATCAGGCTAAATCATAGCACATGATTAAAGGCTGGTTCATATTTCCCCGCACAAACCCAACACTCGTGTATCCACTATGCGTATGCGTACACGGTATACGTTCATAGTTCTCCTGTTAAGCCACGTACTTTGCACACAACGTGCATTGATAATTATTATTATAATAAATAATTTTAATTATTCTGATATTCCCTGCACACGTACCACAGCAGTGAGGTTTGTACCCGTTCTCACAGGGTTGCCAACTCGCTGGCAACTCAGCTGGCTGGCGTGAGATTTTCAATTCGAGACAAGTCTGCATTCACATACACACGCATTTACCTGTATGTAAGAGTTTCATTACTTTTTAAGTAAATAGCCTATAGGGTTTGCAAACCCCAACGCTTGTCAAAACCATCCATGTTGGTATTTAAAGTGGGCGCTAGCGAATCGACCATGCGCAGTGTGCCCAGAGCTGCAGAGACACAAATTTGGAGCGCATCAGGCGTTCGTCTGCGGAAGGGCACAAAGACGTCAAACGTGTCATTAACGTTCGAGCGGACAAGTCCGCAAGTACGCATGCGAAGAAGTATGAGCCAGCCTTAAAGAGAAACAACTGGAAATGTAGATGCTCACCACTCAGGGTGATCCCGAGGTCCACACCTCGCTTCCTGGGTAGCTTTACATTAAAAGTACCACTGCTGGGCACTACAGATTCTGCCAGTCAGAAGGGAGAATGAACAAAACCAGTGTAACCAGCAACACTATTGTGTCACATGTCATTTGCCTCTTAGCTACAGCTAGTGAAATATCTATATTGGAAATGAGGATGACTTCAAAGGAAAGACACAAATGAAATATGCAATTCCAGTTAATAATATGAAGTATTTTTCCCATAATGAAGCAGCAATTAAGTCGTCCATTATTATCAATCATCTACATACTGTACACAGCTAACTTTGCCTGATGCAGCCCTGAACTAAAAATTATCATTTAGTATGAAATAATTATGTACTTGCCTGCAAATTCTGGGAAGAGTACTCTATTGAATGTACATTCAAGTTCTTTTGTATGCTTTTGATCAAGAACTATAACATAGGCCAGGGGTACCCAACTCCAGTCCCGGGGGGCCGGAGCCCAGCACATTTTTGGGTTTCCCCTCGTTTAACACGCCTGATTCAACTCCTTATGCTAATTACCACACATCTCTTGAGCTGAATCATTTATGGTGGAACAGGGAAAGAACTAAGCTACACAGGGCTGCGGCCCCCCAGGACTGGAGTTGGGCACCCCTGACATAGACAAAGACCACTGAACAGCAAAATAACACTGTCACCACCCTTAATAGTTTGAGGAACTGCCAAACCTGCCACATCAAACTCGATTCCCAACGTCACACGACTGGTTAGAGCAGCATCCCGTAGAAGCTGATTTGTGTCTTCTAGAGTTCCATCCTCAGTCAAAATGCCATTGATGGACAGCAACCTGTCACCGGCCTGAAGCAGTCCACACCTGTCAGCCAAGCGCACACACACACACACACACACACAAACACACATTTTGGAGGGAGAGCCCCTTAAACATTTCAGAGCAGGCCAACAACAAACACCACAACACAAGCAATGATTAAAGTGAAGCTGGTCCTTGTGCCTGGCTACAGATACTACTGGAAGCATGTGAGATTCCTCCAACAAGTGCATTGAGAAAGGATTGCTATTTAAGGTGGAGATACTCGCTCTTGCCCCAGTCGGCAGGCTCCTGTATTGGTATTCTGTATTACTTACGTCACTGTAGACAGAAGACGACTCATAGCCTGGATTACAAGCAGGGTTCAAGTTGTCATAGGACGCACGTGGATGCCACCCCCGTAAGAAAGAAATGACATAACCATCCTCATTGAAACTATACCACCTCCCCCCCCCCCCCACCATCCCCCTAAACTGTTCTGTGTAGCTTCACTCAGGTACAGGTGAATATACAGACTGTATCAGTGGTACTCAAATGGCGAATTCCGCTCCACATCCAGACAAACAATTTAATCCAGACCACACCAATCGTCACCAAATTTCATCACTGGGGCTCCCCTCAGCAAATTTCATCATGACCCCTACCTAGGGGTATAGGCAAAAATGCTGGGCCCCTTGACAAAATGTTACCTTGGGCCCTCCAATATCATTTTATGTATTCAGGGGCCTCCAGAAAGTTATAGGGCCCCTGAGACTTCCAGGGTGTCCATGCCCCTGCCGCACTCCTGCCCCTATCATTCCTCCTGAAATCATTTTTGCAGCTCGACCACTGCTTTCAACACAGCAAAGGGCCACACTGGACAGCAGCAGACAGATGCAGCTGAGAGGACTTGACATCTCCACCTTTGATTTCAGTTCTCTCCCATTGTAACATTGTCACTCTTCTGCAGTACAGGCTTATGAGGCATATGGAAATGTTTCTAGGTGCAAGAGCAAAGCGTCCTAAGAGCAGCACTGCCAAATGTAATGGCAAGAACTAAAGGATGTGAAAAGTCAAACTAACAGATTATTTTTGGTTGAATTTTCTACTTTCCAGTAATTACTATAAAATATGCTGGCATATCAACCCTTCATATGTTTAGCGCTCAGTCCCAAAAATAAACCTTGCAGACAAGACCATAACTCCAAGTTCATGTCCCACTGAGTGTTGACTCAGATATGCTACTGGCAGAGAATAAATTAGCTCAATTCTACCGGATACATATTTATATGAAATACAGGAAGTATACTACAAACGTCCTACTTTAAGCAGTAATGAACCCTGTATTCAATGACATTCACAGGGCCTTTATGTAGCCCTTGTTGTGTACAGGCATCCTATCCACACTCAGGCTGCAGTCCCCCACATGCAGTGTCCCCTCTCTGGGTAGCAATCAGGGATGGTGTACTGAATCACAAGCAGCTTACCATGAATTTCAGTGCCGAATATCGAGAAAGAAATGGAGGAAAGCACACGTCACTGGAGAACGCACACTGCAATTAACTCATAATGAATAAGAAACAACACTGTTGCAACTAATTGAGGAAGCACTATTGTGATGTCTGTGGTAGCAGGATTTGTAACATTCACTACGACAAGCTGAGCTACACTTGAGTCACTAACTCTACTCCAGGCAGCCATGAAGTTTCAGTAAATCCACCCATTAATGATTAAAATCAAATAAATGTGATCATTGGAACTACAGGAGTCATAAAACAGTAGATCAGGAGAAACAGGGGGTTATTATAAAAGGTAGATCAAAGTGACAGTCCAATAATCTGTACCCTACAAGACTTATTTTGTAATGTTGCTCACATTAATTGTATGACATTGATTGCTTGGTTGTTCAATCATTATTTTTACTGCACTGCTATGTGCTCACTATCAATAACAATAATTTAACTCAACCTAAAACAAACCAACATTATATTATTCACTTATCAAGAGGAAATCATATCCCATTCAATTTTCTGTCTCGCTCATCACAGCTAGAGACATTAACACATAAATTAATGGTTGTACGATGCAATTGAACTGCAGACCTAACATTTAAACAAGTAACCTTTCTGAACACCTTAAGCAATGCAATACCTGCAGGTTACAACATGCTGGTCAAACACATATTATACAAAAGCTTTGAGGTATATTGTAAGTGGAATTTGGAATCCCATTATATTTTTTGTATTTCTATTAGAGTAATTTTATGTGTTGGTGCGACTTACCTCTCTGCAGGGCTGTGGGGGCCGATGGAGCGGATTACTGGGGGGGCACTCAGAGTTTCTGTGGTAAAAACACCCCCCTGCAGCTGAAGGCCAAAACCATTGAGGGCGTCTCCCAGTATGGTGACATCACAGGTGTCAGCATGGACAATCTGACCCCCTGGAGCCACAGTGCTGGATGCCAAGGACACTGGAGTACAGGCAGGAGAGAGGAGTGCAATTCACAAGTCATATCTGACATATAGTGCTTATGTAGTGTTCAACTCTAAGCAGCTATCAGGTTAATCATGTAAAGATGTGAATGTGTATTCTTCACAAACACATGCATTCTTCCTCTAGCCTCCACATACAAGAGCTCTTGTGCTCCTTGACCCTTTGCCTTCTGCTCAGCATGGAGCTGTGGGGGCTGGTGGGCAGGATGGAGCAGGCAGGGGAGATGGGACACGGCGCAGGGCAGGAGGGCCGGCTGCCCAGGCCTGACGTGCTGCTGGAGGCGGGTGACATGTTGCTGGATGCTTGCGGAGAAACAAGAGACCACCATGGATAAGTCAGCGCAAAAAATCTTCTGAGAAGCAAATGCATCACACAGTGCATGATGATGATAACAACAAAAACAGCAGAATGTGCAGTGGGGGACATTACTGTAACAGTGAAGACCACTGCATTTCATTGTATCTCAGCCATTAATTGCTTATCCAGAATTTGTTTGCAGGCTCATCTGGTCCCTCATTCAGACTAAAAATACTGCACCCATTTGTCAAGGAAGCATCCCCATCTCTGTACAAGAGCACGAGTGCTTTCATAGTCAAGCTCCTTGTATTAGAGGAGCAGATACTGGAAATCCTACATTGTCATAATCAATGACGGCATGGGCTGCACCCCAACCATTTGAACAGTACAACAAACCTCCAAAATAAACATGGGCAAATACAGCCTTTGGGTGTTTCTGGTGAGATTTAGCTGGTATCACTTTACGTGAGGCGGCTGAAATACTTAGTAGTAAATCAGTTACTACTGAAGTACAAATCGTGAACAAGTATAGTAGCTACCTGAGATAAAAGATGCATCACAATTCATTAACGATGAGCAAACATAAGGTCAGTCTTTCACTTGTGTTATTCATTACTTCAGTACTTGTTCCTTCAGTAGTTAAAGGTTTGCAGAATTAACAACAATAATAAACACAGTAACTGCTTGAGATAAAAGATGAGCCATGATTCATTAATGATGAATTAACATGAGATCAGTATGTAACAGACTGAGGTTGTGGTTAATTAATACATACGTAAAGGCATAATACTACATTGCTTGTGTCCCTTGAAGTAAATTGTTACCATTTACTTTAGGTCTTTTCGTATCAGATTAACTAAGATTCAAAAGCTTGTGTAGCGCAGCTGGTATTTAAATTGCAGCATGCATGTACACAGCTGCGCATAAAGCAGAGTACAGCAGACAGCGCTGCTACTTACACTTGCAGGGCTCCTGGGAGGCTTGGTTGCTGGAGCCCCCCCAGGCAGCCTTACACTGGCCAGGGTGCTGGCCATGGCAGTAGCTCACACAGGGGTCCCAGCAGTGGTGCTGCTCACTCCGCTGCACCTTCACTGCACACAGAAACTTGTGCTCAGTATGCACACTCTGAGCTAAAGACAGGAACACCTCACTGAATGCAGAGCTGAGATCTTGCACGCTAATAGCATCATCAGATTTAGACTTTAACAGTCCTCAGCGTGTGATTGACATTGTGGAAACGTCAGTATTTTCTTGAGTTTCCCCTTTAACACTGGAGTAACCCCTAGTGCAAATCTTGGTTAAACTCCTTACTTTTACTGGCCAATTTAGCAAGAGCAGGAAACAGATGCGTTTGTAACATTTGTGATCTTTGAATTAAGGCGGCTTTGTTTTTTAATTTACTTTGGCAAGCACAATTTAACAAATCAAAACTAGGACAAGAGAGAAAAGCTTTTTGAACAGTTAAAAGGTTTGATTTACAGCTTCGATTTGGGAAGCCTGCAGCGTCCTTTCTTGCTTTTGATTGGCTTGGAAATTACCCAATTAGCCCTTCTTAAGATACAGAACACCTGCCATTATACTGAGTGTGAGGCTTGTGACATTACTGTTTATTTAGTGCAAACAGAATAAATTCAAGTAGTGTTTTCATTATAGAAAGTGCATTAATGCTTTGGGGTTTTTTCCTACTAATTGAGTATTCTGAAGTCTTACTAAGTTCAATTTAATTCAGCATTCCCTTCTGTATATCAAAAAAATCTGTGCTGTTTTTACTCTTGATACAGTTCATTTAGGTGGTACAAGTGTGTTTGTCAGAAGCAGAAGTGCTTGTTTTGTTAGATTTTTTTCTTCATATGAAGTATTTTGTTAGTATGTATGAGTTACTGTTAGTCTGACTGAAGTATAGAGGAATGAAATGGAAAGATTGCGCTCTTGTGCCATTTTTAATTCCCAAGACATGTGATTAGTAAACTTGTGCTCTGAATTTCCCATAGTTCATGCATAGGTGTTCTGCAGTGGACTTGCATCCCTGACTTGTGCCCTATACTGCATGAAATATGCACTGGGCTGCTCCACCCATGACCTTGATTGGGTTAAGTGGCTGTTGGATGGAGATTGGTCTATGAAGTTTGAAAACTGGGCCAATATTGAAGGCAAATCCAGCTGAAAAGCCGGTGATAAACTGCCTGAGCGTCACTGTACCTCTCAGGTCAGCTTTGTTACTGAAATACCTCTTGGCCCCAATATGTGCAAGAACTTCTCTATCATATACATTAATTAGCATCATTCGCGCTATAAACTTTTCTGGTCCTACACACCAGTTTCACGTGGTCTGCTGGGCAGGATCTCCAAGCTTGCTTGGTTGGTAGAGCTGGATACGAGGCGTGTCGCCTCCAGGACCGAGCAGTGATCTGTGCTGGTGCCGTTGATGGACAGGACATGATCACCGACACGCAGTGCCCCGCACCTGCAGCCGATCCGGCAGACGGGAAGAGTTAAAGGGCAGGGCTGGGAACAACCTATGCCAGTGTTTCTCAACCCAGTCCTCAGCGAACCCCAGCCAGTCCATGTTTTTGCTTCCTCTCAGCTCCCAGCGCACCTGTGCCAGCTATTCGGTGTTCCTGATTGGCTGGGAGCTGGGAGGGAGCAAAAACGTGGACTGGCTGGGGTTCGCTGAGGACTGGGTTGAGAAACACTGACCTATGCAAAAGATCTGTTAGCTAAGCGAGAGAGTGCAACCTGATTGCTTTATGTGGACATCACTTTGGACAGAAATGTTTGCTAAATAAACACATAGTGTTTTATAGGGACTGGATATTGATGTGAATGTGGAACTGGGAGTCTGGTTACCTGCACTAAATATGGAGGACATACAAACAGTGTCAGTGGGACAGAGGGGCAAAGCACATGAGCAATGATGCAGGTCAGAGGGACGGAGTCAGAGACTGTTGTACCTGTCTGCAGCACTGGCTGCCTTAATCTTCTCTATGACAATGACCTGCTTGTCCCTGTGTGCTGCAGACGCCAGGCTGATCCCCAGAGATGCCCCAGGAGCCTTCTCTATCTCCACCAGCCGGGGTCCCGAGCTGCCCGTCGTATCTGAAGAAGCAGAATCAATCCAAATTAAAGCTTTAGCCCACCTCCCTCCAAACTGCGGAAGTAGCAGCATGCATTTGTGTGCGATTAACAACTTAACTGCAAGAAGCATGGTGATGAATCAGACACGCTAAGGCCATAAAGAGCGAAGGACTGGCAGCTTTGAACCATGCAATGAAACAGGGCAAACCCTCCAAAAGAGGTCCTTGTAGAACAATTCACTTTAATCACATTAATCACATTAATAGTGAACAGTGAGCTAGAGAGGGTTTATGGACTGCTGTCTCCATGCAGCAGAATGCGTCACTCACCTACAGTGGCCACGTCATATTCAATCTGCAGAAGGACCTCTGCGCCGCTGCACATTAGGATGCTCAGCGCCTCTGTGTGGCTCTTGTTGTGTACCGGCATCCCATCCACACTCAGAATGCGGTCCCCCACATGCACTGTCCCCTCTCTGGGGAGGGAAATCAGGTTTTTTTTTTTTTACTGGGTCGCAACAATTTTACACAACAGTCAGACTCACAGTGACACGCTAACAAATACAAGCACGCTACATGGTAAACATTACACGGATACAACGTTTTCTATTTAAAGCAGAAAAACACAAATACACATATCGATTTTCAGTATTTACACATCTCCGAAGTGCGATTACAAAGCATGCTGGTAACTGAATAGTTGGTACTACTGACCAACCCCCTAGTGTCATAACGCATCAATACTATTACGTTTTAATATATAAATCATATTATGATGAATTTTATATTGACATAAACATTGCTCTATTTGCCATTTGCACAGGTACATTGGAACGCTTCTCTTCACCAGCCCTATCTTGCTCTCCATAGCTTGGGGGTCACAGCACAGGGTCAGCTAACATGCAGCACCTCTGGAGTTGGGGGTTAAGGGCCTTAGGGTAGCATGATGGGTCATACCGCTAGGGCTAAAATCTTGCTCTGTATGTGGAGTTTGCATGTATAACACAGAGCTAGTGTGTGAGTGTGCCCTGTAATGGAAAGGCATCCTATCCAGGTCGAACCCCTGACGTGAGCCTTGTGCAGTCTGATATGTGCCATAAGCTCCCACAACCCTGTGATGGATAAGCATCTGGAAGATGGTTGGATGTGAGATATTGAAACTTAATTAGCACAATACCGGTCGGCTGGACCTCCTGGTCTCACATAGGTAACCACTAGGGGGCGTGACTTACGCCACTCTTCATGAAAACCACCTGAAAAACATGGTAACGCACTCGCTGCAAAGCCTACTGCAAACAACACACACAGATACAGTAATCATACACATGTAATGCATTTACAGTGGGTTGCAAAAGTTTTGAACAGAGTAAAAAATTAGTTTTGATTTTCTTTAAAAATGTTCTGACTAATACATTTTGACTTTGAAAACTTAGTATGAGAGGGTACAAGTACTGATAGGAAGATTATTTGCATGTCATTTCGCATTCAGGCAAATTTGATCATTTAAAAGTGGAATTAATTTGTATATGTACAGTATTTGCATGCATTTATATAGAAAAACAGTCACGCCAGACCCTGCTCACCTCGCATGACAAAGCCACAGCTGCTGTCTTCTTTTCGCAAGCGTATGTCGATGATCTTGGGAATTGAGTCTGAGCTACTGTCTGGAGCTGGTGAGCGGAAACGGGAGAGAAAGCGGAGTCCATGCTAACCATACAGCTTGTTTAGCCTCCTTTCTTTGTATTCCATTTTCTCTGTTTTTGTATAATTCTGTATCAGTGATGTTGCAATACATCACATGTACAGCGCCTTTGGGTGACTGTTGTGAAAGGTGCTACATAAAAATTAATTGAATTGAATTCAGTACTGAGCAGCCTTACTCTGCCCTGTATAGTGTATGCAGCAATTGATGCTAGGTGCGAAATTACATGCATTACATGCATTAAGAGTGAACATGTTCTCAATTTCATTCTAAATTGTTCTCTGAACAAATTTCAGCTAAGGCCACAGGATTCTCTGCAGTATTTATTCCCCTGGCCTTTCACTACTTATTGGTTGCACAGATGAGAAATAAAAAAAGGAAATTCTCAAATCCTACCAGCAGGGGGCAGCTCATACTCCACCTCGAGCACCACACGCTCTCCCACGTTCTTTAGCAGGCTGATGATCTCCTCCTGCCGCAGCCGGGCAAGGTGGATGCCGTTTACAGATGTGATGTAGTCCCCCACATTCAGCTGATCACTCCTAAAACAGGCGGAGCTCAGGTCAGGTTTACCACTATACAGTCGGGTGACCAGCCTTTTAAAATATGAATTACTTAGCAGTGGCACTAAAAGGTCAGTTCAGATCTTTTCCATATCTAGCCTGATGCAGTATACATTCCTTCTTGTTGTAAATCATAATGTGTTAACTGCATTGTTTACAATGAGATATACAGCTTCTCCAATTTGTCTCTTTTTTCTTTTACACTGCACTTTCACCTCTTCTTACATGTTCAGTGACACGTGATGCTTTTAAGGAAAATATTTTCTATAAAAATTTGTATGAGATTTGGCAGCTAATCTGCTTTTGAAAGCCCGTGATTCATCATTCAACACTTCAAACCAAATCGTGCAGCTGAGATGGGAGCTGAAATGATGCAATGCCTTAGTGTGATTATATGCAAAGAGTCTACACACATTCATTTAGATGCTAATTAGACAAATACATGTTTTTTCCTTGATTTTCCGTGGCTCTCATTCCTGCCGTTGCATATTTTTCTAGAGGATACACAAAGAAGAGAAGCTCCTGCAATAAAGATTTCTACTGCTAATTTATACAGCTAAAGCATTGTCTAATAATATCTGTAGAGGTACTTTTTTGAAAGGGAACAAATACACATTTGTGTTTGTGCACAAAATCCCCGCTTGTATTTCTGAGTGCCTTAGCCCTTATAGAGAAATATGTCCTTGTGCGGCACCAGCAAGTTCCTGTACCAGGCGGTTCCTTAAAGACGCCATAAAGAGGAGGCTGCATAGTGCCTAAGAAACGGGTAACCAAGCGCTAACCTGGCAGCTAGTGCCCCGGGCCTCAGCTTGGACACCCTGGGGGTGGCATCCTTGTCTGTGCCCCCTGACACAGTCAGGCCCAGCGTGCTGCCATCCTTGCGGCTGAGTTCCACCGTAGTCACTCCCCGACATTCTTCTGTGGACAGTAACAGAAATCACACTGGGCTGTTTCCCCTTTTTTTCCTGTGCAATTTCACAATATACAGTGGTACCTCAGAACTCAAACTTAATCCGTTCAGAACTCCGGATCGAATCCTATAAAGTTTGAGTTCTGATTGAATTTTCCCCATAAGAAATTATGGAAAACCAATTAATTGGTTCCTGGCCCCAAAAAATTACACCGAAATATGTTTTTTTAGCATTTAAACACAAAATGAACCGGACAAAACAAGAAAAGCATATACTGTACTAAACACATCTAAGCAAATTTATCAAAACAGTAATTTTTAAAGTAAATAAATGAATCCAAACAATGTGTAAAGTTAAAAAAAAAAAAACAATGTGTCATGCCCCTATCGTCCGTGTCACGCCCAACTCTGTCCGATCCTCGTGTGTGCCACACCCACCTCGTTACCTCGTGTCAATCCCTGATTGTCATCATCTGTTTCCTGTTCCTTTTGGCTTGTCCTGTGTAGTCCGTGTCTCAGTCAGTATTCCCCAGATCCGTCATTGTATTGTTTGATGTTCGTCACCCGTCTGCCCTGATTAGACCCCGTATGTGTAAACATGCAGGATGTTATCACAGCGAATGTGAGGCTGAGACTGAAGCGTTACCCTTCGTTTCCGCTGAGAGACGTGCCGCGTGACTCATTTCCCCGCGCGTACAAGTTAACTTAGGTCGGCGTTCACGGTTTGACTTCTGAGATTCAGATCGAGTTCTACGTAATTTTTTTCAAACTGGTTGGTTCGACTTTTAAGAAATTTGAGTTATAATGAGTTCGAGAACTGAGGTACCACTGTAGTAGGTAAACAGGTTAAAATGCGTCTGAGCAACTGCTATGATTCGTTTTAAGAATTAAATACAGCAGCTGATATATTGTGGATACAATGAGAAAAAAAACTTGAAATTTCATTAAAAAGTTTGTAATATGGGTAAGGTTCTGAAAGCAGCAATAAGGGCTCTGACAAAGATAATTTATTTTGTCTTTGTTTCATAATTATGACTATTTTATTTTATGTGGTTCAAATGGGCTTCCATATAAAATAGGTGTATAAGTATAAATTTGTATGATTTTTGATTTGTTGTTTTTTTTTGTTTGTTTTTCTTTTTGTTTTTCATCCTCTTCCACAGACTATAGTGCCTGCGATGTGACACCATTCCTCAATCAGAAATTCTCTGGGAGTTTTGCTAAGGGTGACAGACAGCAGTTTCACACGTGATGGATCATTTGTTGTAGCTGTTCATGTGGATTCATTTCTGCTGGCTGGGATGCCCAAACCAAACTGTTCCCTTATTATCATGCTCATCAAATCATTCATGGTCTATGGACCACAGGCCCGAAGGCACTGACATCCTGGAAGAAACCCCTCCCAGTGTAACAGAAATGCTTCAGAACAGGGTGAATAATCATTCATGATGGCCTTATATCTACTGGAATTTGGGGTGGATAAGACACAAAGTATTCCAGGAAAATTAACCTCACATCACAACAGAATCCTTCAGTGTGAGAATCAAGCATTAATCTGATCATTTGACTTTTTCCATGACAGTAATCTACAGTCTGTACACCACTTTACTGATGAAAACAAATGTTATGCAATGCAACACTTTATACACTGAAACAAACCATAATACTGTATATCTCTTGCTGAAATTATGAATCCGCCCGTCCCTTACTTACAGACATTCAGCTGATTCAAAGGAATACAATGCATAGACATTGTGGTCAAGCAGCATATCTGTTGTCCACAGCAGGCCCTAGTCATTCTAACAGTACATCACCTTAGCAACTGTTCCTTCTGTTAGCCTTTGTAACCGAAGCCAGTGCCCAACAAACGCCCCCTCTTATGTGTTTATTATTATGTGTTTATTATACATTCCCTAAGCACAATATGATGATAATTGCTTAATTAATTTAATTAGTACTGTACACTTGTTTGGAGAGATCAGCTTTCAATAAACAGCATATGGACAAAAGTATTGGGACACACCTTTTAATTAAATTCAGGTATTTCATTCAGACCCATAGCCACAGGTGTATAAAAGGAACAGCACAAACTCAGCCACAAAGCTGAGGCGCATAGTGTGTAAAAGTCACCAGTACTCTGTTCTCTCAATAGCTGCAGAGTTCCAACCCTGCTCTGGCATTAATCCCAGCACAAAAAACTGTTCACTGGGAGCTTCATGGAAAGGGCTCTCATAGCTGAGCAGCTGGATGCCAGCCTTACGTCACCAAGCACAATGCCAAATGTCGGATGCAGTGGTGTAAAGTGCACCAGCACTGGACTCTGGAGCAGTGGAGACGTGTTCTGTGGAGGGACGAATCATGCTTCTCTGTCTGGAAGTCTGATAGATTACTATGGGTTTGGCTGATGCCAGGAGAACGTTACCTGCCTGACTGCTTTGTGCCAAATGTTAAGTTTGGTGGAGGAGGGATAATGGTATGGGGTTGTTTTTCAGGGGTTGGGCTAGGCCCCTTAGTTCCAGTGAAGGGAACCCTTATTGCTCCAGTGTACCTAGACATATGCTTTCCAACTTTGTGGGAACAGTTTGGTGAAGGCCTTTTTCTGTTCCAGTATGACTGTGTCCCAGTGCACAAAACAAGGTCCATAGAGACATGGTTGGGTGAGTTTGGTGTGGAAGAAGAGTTGCACAGAGCCCTGATCTCAACCCCATCAAACACCTTTTGGATTAACTAGAACAGAGATTGTGAGCCAGGCCTTCACATCCAACATCAGTGCCAGACGTCACAAACACTCTTCTGGATGAATGGACATACATTCCCACAGACAAATTCCAAAATCTTGTGGAAAGCCTTCCCAGAAGAGTGGAAGCTGTTATACTCCACATTGGTGTCTCTGGATTTAGAATGGGACGTCATAAAGGTTTGTGTAAGTGTAATGGCCAGGTGTCCTCATGTTTTTTGCCCATACCTTTCCTTCATTTTTTGTCTTCCCTTTTCCATGTTTTTGTATTATTCCATCTTAATGCCATTGTAATGTATAACAACAGACTCATGTAAACCATCTTGGGGCGACTCTGTTGTGAAAGGCGCTATGAAAAAATTAATTTAATTGAATTGTGTACGCATCCTCTCATGTACTCATGTCCTTCCTTTGTTTTGGCAGTTACTTTTATAATCATGAATTCTCCAGTTTTCTCTCCTAGTCCAAAAACATGCCTTTAGACTAAGTGGTGTCTCTAACTTGTCTGTAATATATGATTTTGTGTGAGCTTGTGTATTTATGTTCCTTGTGGTGGAAAGGCATCCCATCCATGCTGTACATCAGTGTTGTGCCCTTTGCTGTCCAGGATAGACCCACCTGTGAAGAGGTTAGCAGATGGATGGATGGAATATATATTAAAAGAGTACTGTAGAAACAAAATTGTGTACAAAAGTCATGCACCACATTTCAGCCATTTTCAGTCACCCTTTGCTGATTGTATGGTAATCGAGGCGTAAGTAGTGACTGTACCTTGAACACTTTGTTTTAAGCTGGATAGCCGATCATCAGATGCTGTGGAGTTCTTGTTTCCCTTATAGTAAGGGCTGTCTTCTACAAGTGGAGGGAAAACGTGACTTAAAGGCCAAGCAGGATACAGACAACCCTGAATATAAAGAGTCAGAGTCACAGGGTTTGTTCCATTTGCCACATTAAGTATACACTTACACACTACCACACTTGGCGGGTGCATTCACATGCTTAGCACAAGTATCCAAGGGTGTCCCATCCCTCGAATAAGCCAAGTGCAGTGCGCTTAATGTGCACTTTGTCCAAACTTTGGCAAATACTGTATGGAAGTGGCCTTTAGCTAAGTATAGAGACCACAATGCAGTGCATCGGTGATGACTAATGTTTACATCAAACACGAGGCAGTCTGTTGGCATATCAGAGCGCAACAAGTCTCCAAAGAACTTTCCATTTACATGCACAAAATTGTAAAGAATGTTTACATAGCCTAGGCTACAGTGTGTAACCAAACACAACTAACACAAATGATAACATAGCATGTTTGTTGTTCATCTCTTCAGGTATCAAGTGTGTCCCAATGTTTTAATGCCTGGGCACTTGAGCTCTTTACATGCACTTGTACACTTGTGTCTTATAGCAACATATATCACCAAAGTGTGAAGTATTAGTGCGTTTGCACTTAAGGGCAGTAAATGGGACGAAGCCACAGAGTACGCAACTGGTTTGTTGAAACAAAATCTTAGTGCAGACCTTTACTTTCTAGACCTGAACTATCCACCTCTGACAATATATTATGTGCTTTCAGTCAGGGACATTCACACAATGTCCCTGAGTTTCAGTTCGCATAGTGCCTGTGAAGCTCCTGGCCTCTGAGAACTCACTTTGCCACATGCTGTGCTGACTGTTCCAAACATTGTAATTTAGCTCTGCACCAAAGAATGGAGAGCATCCACCATGGACAAGCAGACCCTGTATTTTGACAAAATATGATCTGAAGCAAACATCTCACATGTCTAATCATTTTTTAATTGAAAAACCTCCAGATATAAGGTAGAACATCAACCTTCTTTTGATGTATGGTGTTTTATTGAAGTGTATAGTTGAGATGTAAGTCAGCCTCACACGTTGTTTGAGCTAAAATATACTCTGAACTTAATTTCAGTGATGGTCCTCTAGGAGCAGAATGTTACACGCTCACTTTATTCTGGTCATTTAATTCAATAAATCTGACCTTTTCAAGCCTGGGTTCCTCCTTCTGTTAGTAGTCAAATGATAGAACAAAAACAAAAAAGCTTAGTTTTACCAAAATGATACACAACGGACTAGAAACAACATTTTGAAACTTATCTTCTTCAGAGCAAAACACAGTGAACATACACATTTCTCTACCTTAGCCAGGCTCTGACACTCTGATGTCAATGCTTTCAGAGCACCAAGTTTCAGTTGTAAAGGCAACTGAGATATAACTAAAAAATTTGTTCAGCAATCAGCTTTTATACTGTACAATGTTGTATTGAATAAGATGATGTTGAGCCTGAAGCGTGGCACCAATAATCTGGCCAATGACATGTGCTACATATTGACAATTAGGAGCCAACCTGACTGTCAGCCCAGCAACATTTATTCTGGATGAGATAATATGTGTCAGTCCACAGTGTGTTGAGAAGGTTTAGGGAAATGTGAGAATCATACCACTACACTAAAGCCCTTGGTATTATAATGAGCGGTGAATTGGAAACAGTCCTTGAGATGTATAGTGCTTTTCCCCCTCATTGCCAATTTGTGGAATATAAAGACTTCATAAAATCAGTAAATACCCAGATTATACTTCTCCCCCAGTCCACACTGACAGAACGCCCATCTCAGCCTGAAAGCTCTGCAGTCTTGTTAGCTTCAGCAGAAATGCGAGGTGGCTGTAATCCTGCTGATAGGAATTTTGAGCGGCTTTTCTGTCTGCTGGGAAAATGTTTTTGTCACATAATTTTCACTGGTGGAATGGAGCCTGATTGGCTTCAACTTTGGCTCCTGACACAAGATGCAATCAGGACACACCAAAGGGACCAAGAGCCTATATATTCTGACAGTCCACCACTGACCAGGAGAAGCACTTAAAGCATCTATGGATTGTGGCATCGATGGATAAGTTGAATATTATGTTGATTTAGTGGTGCCACTTTACAATAAGCCTACCCATATAAAGGGTTTATGAATGGTTTATAATCTGGTTATTAATTAGGTTATAACACTTTGTAAATTATTAATAGACACTTTTAAACAAGTTATAACACTGTTTTCTTTTTATTAATGAGTTACTACCATTTACAAGTGGCAAGCGGAGCCTTATTGTAAAATGGTACCGATTTAGTTATGAGGCTGCATAAGTGGGAATAACTGGAATGTTACTTAAAAACTTGGTAGGAGTTATTTCATTATCATATTCTTTAAATAGTGCTGGGTCAGCTTGGCAGCCTGCCATTGTAGTGGGGGGGTATACCCCCCCCCCCCATTCACTGTCTCTCCTGATAATGTCACAATGCTGTATTAATGGTTGTCAAAGAGGAAGAATGAATAAAGAACGTATGCTATCAATACATAAAAAACAAAACTAGGTGAAAACTAGGTGATGATTTGTTTAGCTCAGAAAATATTTTTTAATTTCACAAGCTCTAAAGAGATATTTATGGTGTTCTTTGGTCATTTTTGTTCTAAGGTTTTGAAAATCTCTGCCTGAGAGACAATGATGTACAATGTTTATTTTGGTTGCATGCATGTCCTTACAGTGCACTTTCTGGTACGATGACGAGAGCAGTGCATCGCCCTCAGATATAAAAAACCATCAGGCAACAAAGTGATTCTTCTGCTACATGGTTTACTGGGTGAAAAGACCCAAAGTAGCGCATTCAAGCCCTGCCGGATGACACCGTTCCAAAAATAGGCTGCACACAGAAATGTGCTAACAAGGTCTGGAGAATTGCAGCTCTATTTTAAGAGGCATCGCATTCTGTCATCTAGAATTCGCTTTAATTTCATGAGCCAGATGAATTTCACTTTTGCTAAAAAAAAAAACATTTTTCCCTTTATTTATCAGAGAGGGATTGACACCACGTTCTGTTCTTTGCACTGTCTGCTGCATAGTGTTTCATTCCCATTTTCACCTACTTCCAGTTCCACTGAGAGATGATAGGAACAGTACAAATGTGACATTCTGCGTTAGGTGGAACCCTAAAATAATCAAGAAAATTACATTCAGCCGGCACGTTTCAATTAGAAGACTAATTGCACTGATATGGGGGTTTTGTACTTTAAAATCCTCCCACTTACCATTCAGCACAGAGGGATACCCCCCCCCCCCCCATTTCACACAGGCATGCTGCTCCCACAAAGCTGCCCCATGTTTTCCCCACATTTGCACAAAGGTTACCTTCGCGTCCCACAGCCACCTTACTCCAGCACTGCTCACTCCTATTTTCTCCTATCACCGCTTGCCCGCACACAGCCCCCTTCCCAATACGGCTTACCTACACTCTTCTTCACTTCCCTTCTCAGGGCACAGAGCATGTCTCCGGTCCTTGGTGGTGCTGCTATGTTGAGTGCAGTACACCAGCGATGGCTTGGTCCTCAGCAGGGGAGAGTGAAGATGCTCGTCATGCTCCCAGTGCGAGGACTGGATCTGACACTTCCGGTGAAGTCCCTTAATCCTTGTGCGGATCTCTTCAGACGCAGCCTGCTGCTCTACATGGTTTTGCTGCTACACAAATTCTTCACATTAAAGAAGCCTCTGCTGAAAAGCAGGGCATCCAATGAAACGTGGGCATGGCGGTCACAAGCTCCAAGCGATCTCATTCAGCTCTGCCAGCTGGAAAACAACAGCGTTTGCCCCCCAAAGAAGGTGGTGTCTGTTCCAACCCCCTTTCTTTAATTTTTTGGTTTTCATTAACCTTAGACGCAAAATGCATTAAAAAGTATGGTTTGTGAAAAAATAAGAATGCAGAATGATTTAAACAGCTAATGCTCAGTTTCAAATTGTTTCATAGCTACATGACGTGCTATGAAAGCTAATTTTTAGTGCAGAAAGCCCATCGTACAAGATTCATCTTGCCTTCTCTGAAAATCTTGCTGTAAAGACTGTTAATGTGGTACTGGTTGGTGTCATGCATACACCTCCTCTTAGTCTGTCTAACTGCTTCTGTCCTTGATGACGGGATGTGGAAATGTATTCCTTCTGGGCCCCTCCCTCTCATCAGTGGAGTTCCAAGCTGTTGCCCTGCCTTTCCAGTATGTCCAAAGCTCCATCCTTCCCAAACCTGCCCACAAAGACAGCTGCTCTAGGCAGTTATTGTTCTCCAATTCCCAGCAAACAGAATGAACAATCAGAAGGTTCCACAGGCAACCTATTCTGCCCACCTGGCCGGCAAAGTGCTCATCTCAGTTGTGGACTGGGTCTTATCCCCAGAAATGACAGTTTTAGGTTAATAGCCCTCTGCCTGGAGCTAACCCCGACTCTTGAGCTGTGTTGCTTGCTGCAGACTCCCCACGGTAAGTCTCTCAGTACTGCCTCTAGTGATCACCTCATTTCCTTAAAATGTTTTGCGTCTAAAAAGAAGTAATAAGTGCATTGCAGTGAGAAAAAATATTAAAGTTAAACCCGTTTTCCATTTTTAAAAAGTAAAATGCAATTACATTTTATGCAGGAGCTACTCTAACTCAATCTGGGCATAATATTGTATTTTTCTCAACACTATTCAGCCAATTGTACAAATAATACAACATATGCAAATATATGTACAATTTTAAGCCTTCAGCTTAGCATCCAAACAACAGCAGTCAAGGAAAGAAGCATGAAGGTGCTGCTTCATATTGGCAGATTCTCTCATATGCAATGCTGATGTACAGAGACCCTTATATATGAATCCTCTGCTGAATACCTACATTACTTTGCAAAGTATCTCGGAATATTAGACCAATTAATTTCTGAAAAAAGGTACAGGGTACAGATCCCCAGGAGAGATGGTGACAAGAAGTAGGTTAATTAGGGATAATACACTTTTCTAAGACATTCACATCTTTTTGGTGTGAAGGATAAACTTCATCCATCCATCCATCCATCCATCCATCCATTTACTGAAATCGTTTACCCTCTTCAGGGTCACGGGGGGTCCGGAGCCCCTCCCGGAGGCTACAGGTGCGAGGCAGGGAACAACCCAGGATGGGGCGCCAACCCATCGCAGGTATAAACTTCATGAAATTTTTATAAAAGTCTGAACTCTTTGTAAGATTCTTGTACACTGATCAGCCATAACATTAAAACCACTGACAGGTGAAGTGAATAACATTGATTATCTCATTACAATGTCACCTGCCAAGGGTGTCATTATATATTAGAAAAGTGAACAGTCAGTTCTTTAAGGTGATGTGTTGGAAGCAGGAAACATGGACAAAAGTAAGGATCTGAGTGACTTTGACAAGGACCAAATTGTGACGGCTAGATGACTGGGGCAGAGTATCAGCAAAATGACAGGTCTTGTGGGGTGTTCCTGTTATGCAGTGGTCATTAGCTACCAAAAGTAGTCCAAGGAAGGTCAACCGGTGAACCAGCGATGGGGTCATGGGTGACCAAGGCTTATTGATGTGCGTGGGAAGCTAAGGCTAGCCCGCCTGGTCCTGTCCCACAGGAGAGCTTCTGTTGGACAAATGGCTAAAAAGTAAAGGCTGGCCATGATAGAAAGGTGTCAGATCACATCATGTATCGCAGTTTGCTGCGTATGTGGCTGTGTAGCCGCAGACCAATCAGTGTGCCTATGCTGACCCCTGTCTAATGACGAAAACACCTACAATGGGCATGTGAGCATCAGAACTGGACCATGTATCAATTGAAGAAGGTGGCTTGGTCTGATGACTCATGTTCTCTGTTACATCAGGTGGAGAGTTGGGTCTGTGTGCATCATGTACTTGGGGAAGAGATGGCACCAGAATGCTCTTCAGGAAGAAGGCAAGAGTCAGAGTCAGTGTAATGCTCTGGACAATGTTCTGCTGGGAAACCTTGTGTCCTGGAATTCATGTGGATGTTACTTTGACATGTACCACCTACCTAATCATTGCTACAAACCAAGTACATCCCTTCATGGCAGCAGTATTCCGCAATGGCAGTGGCCTCTTTCCGCAGGATAATGCTCCCTGCCACACTGCAAAAAAATTTCAGGAATGGTTTGAGGAACATGAAAAAGAGTTCAAGGTCATGACTTGACCTTCAGATTCCCCAGATCTCAATCCGATCAAGCATCTCTGGGATGTGCTGGACAAACATGTCAATCTATGGAGGCCCCACCTTGCGGGGGATCTGCTGCTAACGTCTTGGTACCAGATACCAGCAGATACCTTCAGAGGTTTTGTAGAGTCCATGCCTCAGCAGGTCAGAACTGTGGCAGCACGAGGGGGACCTACACAATATTATACAGATGGTTTAATGTTATGATTGATCGGTGTATGACATTCTTGACTGAATTTAGCTACTGTTCATACTCATTTTAAATATTATCACCAGGGATGGACATAACTGGTACACAAGTACGCATTCACCTTCAAAAACGATATGTGTGCCAATCGATTGTTTGTAAAAGTGCAAATGTGTACTTATTTTATGTGCATTTGCACTGCTATGACAAGAAAATACCTTGCACTTTAACCTGTATACCGCAAATGAAGTAGAGTTAGCATATAAAGATTAAAATGCATCATATTTTGTTTTCATATAAGCGCAAATGCTCATAAAATAAGTATGCATTTAAACCATTACTACAATCATATTGTTTTTAAAGGTGAATGCGTACTTGCGCAACAGTTATGATTATGACTTTGTTTTGCAAATATTCTATTGTCTAATTTATTTTAAGCTGTGAATCAGACTGTAAATAATGATATGATAAATTCATTGAATGTGACTGACAGTGTGCAGAGCTGTGATGAAGAGTTTTATAACCTTGTGAGTATAAGTGTTCTGAATCTATGGCTTACTTCATTCTATCAGTGCACACATATTGAGTAACTAGAACTCAACCACAACACAGAGGAAAAAAGAAGAGATCAAAACAGAAGACCCCTGGTAAAGTACAATACGGCAGCCAAGTAAAATGATGTGAGGAAGAGAGGCTTTATAAGTAATTAAATGTAATGTCACCACTGCTGGGCTCATAAACAGTTCTGTGGGAGGAATCTGTCATTTGGCAAGATTATTTAGCTGGAGAAAAGATCAAATAGACTTATGTGCTAAAATTTAAATACAGAGTGCATTTCAGTCCCATAAATGAGAAAGTGAATATACCACATCACAACTGCCTGGTATAAGAAAATGACACTCTGTCCAGAAATCATATCTGATTCAATGTATTGGGGACTATCATTTTCAGTTACAATGTATTTCTATAGGAATTATTACACTAGTGCTAAACAGTTTAATCTATGACAGAATGATTGATGAGTGTCAATGGCCAGCATTATTACCCCATACCTCTTGGGTTGGGGTTTTCATTTTGTTGTGTAGGTTTCCTCCTGCAGTACAAAAACTTCCAGTTAGGTGAATTAGTGTCTTATAAGCTATCCCTAGTTTTTCTATATGCAACCTGTCCAGGGTATTCTGCTGCCTGGGATAGACTCCAGGCGACCATGTAGTGGATAAGGGTTTGGAAGATGGATGGATGTTTAGCATTTACCAAGTTCTGTCAGACCCTGAACTTACAATCTGTTAAAGCTACGTATTAAGGAAAGTTTTAATTACAGTTTAGTGCTAAACCTTCCTTGCATTTTAACACCACAATCATTTTTGGCATACCGATTCACTGAGACACATTACAACTAAACTACACTGCCTGGGCAAAAAACGTTGTGCACTTTAAAATTCCATTTGACCCGCCTTTAGCACTGATTATGGTGCACATTTGTCAATGCATTGTTTCCACATGCTTATGCAACATCTCAAGCTCTCACGATTTTTTTTTTCATCCAGATTTGTATTCATTCCTCGTTGAGGTCTTGTATTGATGATAGTTGTTGAGCCACTCCATAAAGTCTTCTTCAGCACGTCCCATAGACTTTCAAGGGGGTTAAAGTCAAGACTCTGTGGTGGCCAGTTCGTATGTGAAAATGATTCCTCATGTTCCCTGAACCACTCCTTGACAAGTCGAGCCAGATGCATCTTGGCATGATCGTCCTGGAATATGCCCATGTCAATGGGAAAGAAAAAAATCCCCTAACAGGATAACCTGGGCATTCAGTAGATTCAGGTACTCAGCTGACTTCACTTTATTGATGCATAATGTTGCTGAGCTGTAATAATGATCCAGTCATTGGCTCTTAAGTATTTGCTGGTTTCAATTCAACCTGTCTTTTCTTGGCAAATTTTTGCTGAGAATGAGGATTCACCCTTTATCCAGACACTACAGAATCTTTTAACATCAGTTACCAGATACCAAGTCTATACCAAGGAAATTGTTCAGTGTAAAGACAATGACAATCAAGGGGAACACAAAGTATATGCCTTCGATTTTTGTGTGCAGACACTCCTTTACTTACGAACGAGTTATGTTCCGAATGGCCGTTCGTAACTTGAAATGTTCGTAAGTCATTATTCAACATCATTTTAAGTGTATACGCAAGTACAAAGAACTAGGATGCTGGGAGTACGCACGCTACGCTGCTGTGCAGCAGGAGTAGTGGGCAGAAGTTGTACTAGGCGGAACTGGCGTGCAGAAAAAAAAATTGTTGTGGACAGAAAACGGGAGCCCAACAAACACAATTTGGACTTACAGTCCTCTTCGTTCGTATGTCTGAAAGTTTGTAAGTAATCTGAAATTTCGTCTGTAAATTATGTTTTGCTGTCTATTTGGCTAAATACTTCCTTTCCAACAAATTTACTCTCTGTGGTGAGTCTCCTTTACATTTTATATATTATAAGCACTCAATTTACACCTACCCTAGTATGATAGGACACAGTGCACTTTTGAGCTAAATAGCTACTTATGTAAAATATATCAACTTTTAAATTGGAAGAAAGCAAACTATTTTCATTCTTACCGAGTTAATTTGACAATTCCTTAGGTTTGAAAGAGGACAGCACATGACCACAACTTCTGGCATGTGGGGTGCAGTCCTCTGCTGTCTGTGTGTGTG